CATACTCAGGGGTGCATATTTCAGGCAGGGCTGCCATGTGAGGTGACACTTGACACTCTTTCTTAATCGAATTGTAGGAGATTAAAAGCAATAAATAGAATGTTTTTGTTTATTTTTACTGCTTAAAGTGTAAGAAGAAATCGGTGAGATAGTTGGGAACAACATTTTATTTAAATATTCGGTAAGAACTAAAGCTAAAGCTCAAACTTTAGGTAATCTCCATCTAATCGCTTAACATTGGTTCAGTGAAGTCAATGCCTTTAGGGATTCGTAAATCTTTGAACTACATACACTCATATTGCATATATACATAAAAGAGCTGTGAAGTCTTTTATTTCTTGCTCTAAGGTAAATTGTATATGAAAAATGTGTAACAAAATGCTATAAAAATATCTAAGACTCAAGAAGTCTTATTTATAAAATTGTTCAAAAAATTATAAACTTATGTACGTACATATATTCACCACAAAACTGGTTTTTAAATTAGCATTAATGCTGGCCTTCGAATATCGCCAACGAAATTTATTCATTGGAAATACATATTAATGCATTCGAAGAAAAAATAAAGACACAAAATTATCCCTCAGCCAGCTTGCTTTTTTTTCCCTCCCAACAAAAGTAAATATTAATTTATAATTAACTGCCGGCGATGAATACGTCATTACCGCTGCGGCTTAGTGTTGGCGTTCATTGGTAAGATGCAGTGTGGTTTGTAAAACTTGAGTAGTAGCGAAAAAAAATTTATTATAATTAACTGTTACTGAGAACAATTTATTGTAAGCCACATTTTTGCATTTTCTAATAAAATTATAAAGCTTTGTGTGAAGCAGCTATCCAACACTACGCTTAAAAAAATCAGCTACAAAAATAATAGTTTTGCGGTGATTTTATTTCATTAAACTATGCGAATTTGCTTTCATATAAACAACATACGTAAATCTTCCTTTTGAAGGGCGCTATAACCGCCAAAGTGTTTTTGGTCGAGTTCAATAAACCACGCCAGTCATTACTCTTTTGTGCCAACTAAGGCCAATAGGAAATGGCAAGTGAAGTCAAGTGCTTCTCTACCTGGTCTTTCTATAGCGGAGAAGGCCTCTCTCTTTCTGTGCTACCACCATATAAATAAATGTATATTCTCTTCGGTCTCAATTTGCTTCGATTTCAAACCAACTGTGGTCACTTTCTTCATCTGTTTCGAATTACTCTTCTCGAGCAGTCATACCCGTTATAAGAACCGATTCGACTTTTTTCACCGAAATTTTTTTTTAGTTTTTTTTTAGTTTCTTCCTAAGCGAAAATTAATTTCTACGCCACTACGTCTAATTTATTCAAAGTGCATACATATTTATTTTCTCCCATAAAATTATTAACTTCAGTATCCCTTCCGTAAACACTTAAAGAAAATTTCTGCGCCCGCATACTTAAAATTTACAACAAACTTACCATATATATTTATATGTATGTATTACCTTACAACAAAGCCATATGCTATGGCGCCGGAAATTGTTTAATCCGCTACAAGCACTTCCTCATACAAACTGCGCTCTCGACGCTTTTTATTGCTTGCATCCTTTGGCGTTAAAGCAAAATCGGAAAGCAAAAAAAAAAATCATAAAAAGTGCAGTAAGCTACAAGTGCAACAACAAATATATCGTAAAATGGTTTTGTAGGCACACAACAACAAGTAAGGCAACGCTGACTACAAACAACAACAAAGCAACTCAGTAAACGCTACTTATTTATTTACTACAAGAACCTGTACTAAATCGGCGTTCAGTAAAAAAAAAAGAAAAACACAACAGCGGTTGGTGGTCGGGAATACGTAGAAACGGTTGTTAGCATGTTGGTGACACTTGAAACTTGTTAGGTATATTTTTGTGTTAGCCTTTTTTATTCTTAAATTAAATACATTGAAGCTTTATGTTTTCGAACGCTGGTCAAATATTTTTTTGTGCTTGAAAGAACTACCATTTTTCGAGGCAGAGACCTGTATATCAGTTTTGTTGTAAGAAGAGAGTACAAAGTTACATAAAATGAAAAAAGCAAACAAATTAGTGCTGATGAAAATTAAAAAAAAAAAAAACATAAAACTAGGTGAAAAAAGAAGTCACGAAAAATCGCCGATATAATACAGAAATAAACAAATGACCAAAATTCATGTCAGTACTGAACAATATGCCTTATGTCACATAGTCAGCAGCTCGATTAGCGATGGGCTTTTTCAATTTGAAAGTACATTCGGCAAAAGCCCACTTACATAGGTGTAGGGGCATATAAATGATAAAAAGGAGTGGTCAAAGTAACTTAACAGTAATCGGTTGCGCCAAGTTGGTGCTGCATCAAAGCAGGAACTGACGAGAGAACCTTGTGCTCAAATGCGCTTCTGAACGAAAGTTCGATAGCGAATATTTTTTTTTAAACTTCAGATTGAACAACTCAAACGAAAATGATTTACTTATCCTTAAAAATGGTTTCGTCTCGAATTGCTCGAAGAGATGATTTCCTTTCCATCGTCATTTTTTATGGGCCCATTTTTTTTTTATGTGAGTCCAGAAGTTGATACGGGATCGAAAAGCGAGGTTCTCCTTCTCATAATATCACAACGGAAGATTTAATTTTTCATCCCTGATGGGCTATCAGTTGTCATTCGCGTATGAAATTGGGCCTGACATTAGAATTGAAGCCACGTAACGGAGTTTTATCTGGGTTTTGACAGGATTTAACTTAGCGACCATAACGGTTAAGATATTTAAAATAATAATCGCAATTTAAGCGTTACAATTTAATTTCCATTTTTCGATCAGTTCTTGATGAATATTTTAGGACTTTTATTTTTTCGATAAAAATATCTGTTTTTTTTTTTTAATTCTAATTTTTTTTATCATATTGTAACCGTTATTTTGGGATTTCATTTTTTAGACCATAATGGGGCGCAGTAATGGAGGCGTTTAAATATTATCGGAAAAAGTAAAAAATCCAAAATAGCGAGTAAAAAAACCAAAAAAAAATAAAAAATTTAACGACTATTTTTTATCGAAAAAATAAAAACCAAAAATTATGATTCATGGCGCTATAACTTCTAGCTGGGCCAAATAAGTCTCCTTGTAAACTTTTCTGGAGTAACTTAAATACAAAAAAAAAACAAAAATTATGATTATTTGACGGAAAAAAAATCAAAAATAATACTTTAATTACTTTTTAGTTTTTAGCAAAATTTATATTACTTATATAAATTTTAAACTGAAAGTCTACGAAAAATCTTGAAAAACCTTGAAAATTTCCTAGACAAATCAAAAAATCACGAAGAACTTCGTTTTTTACATAGCTCTTCAGAAGTTCGAAAACCATTGCCTTAGAATTGAAATTAGTATCACCAGAAGGGGTTTCTGTTATTTAATATACCGATCGAAATTAAACATAAATGAATAAAATGTTCTTCTATAAAATTTCTTAAATCAGTTTGCAGCTCTCAAGAAAATTTACTCAGCCGTAAGGTGCATTTTTAAGCAAAAAATTCAAATAATGAAAAATTTGTTAGTGATTTTTCTTAAAAAAAGCTAGGAGCTAAGCTTGAGAGAGTTTTTTTTAACTTGAAATAAATTTTGTTTAGATAATAATTTCTTTTCCCAATGCATCCATGGCATTTTAAAACATTTTTTTTAATGTATGTAATTTCAAAACGCGTAAACAGCCTTTAATTTTAATTTAATAATAAAAATTTATATCACGTTGACAAAAAATTAAAATGTTTACTCAGCGAAAGCTGATCATAAAAAAATTTAATTGTAGTTACACGGGCAAAAGTATGCGCGGCCGCAAGTTGCTATGTACATATGTACATAGAGTAAATGCATGTACTTACATGGTATATGCATTCACTGCTTAGATAAATTTAATTACACAAAGCGTTTTCTCTTCAATTTTACAAAAGTCATAAATATTTAATTTTCGCTGTATAATTACATAAGCATAAGTGATTTGAAAACAAGCAGCAATTACGCATTTACACAATTTTATGCCTTAAATGCATTGCTTGAAAAAGTAACAGCTGGCGAAAAAAAAACGCCCGACCAAAAAACCAACTAGAGTTTTGCGCAAACAAAATGTTGTCTGCTTGAATGACAGCTGAAGAGCAAAGATGTTGGCTAAGTGGAGCTGCGCAAAAGCACCAAAAACATAACTACGCATATGTTTCTACACTGTAATATGAATTATTTTCTTAACTAGCATAAAATTACCAAACACGTGGTTGAGGTCAAGCGCACACCATATTTCATATACTATACTCAGTTTGCTGCTAATGTGTCGCAAGTTCGTTGCTTAAGTCTTTTGTTTCGCGCTACATATTTGCACATTATCCAATTTTTTAAATGCAAACAATTAGTACAGTGCAAATACTTAGCTACAAATTTACATTAAATTGACCTAATTGGCAATAATTTCATAGCCAATTGAAGCACTTAGTATGTATGATTGTCTGACTGCACACTGATATATACAATTATGGTTAATAAGCTATCGATTTGCAGATATGTACATATGTACTTAAATTAACTAAGGCCAGGCAATTACCAGCAAGTAAATATTGCTTGTTTGGAATTTAAAAAATTTTGTTTGTTGCCTTTTAGGTGCAGAAAACTTTACCAACTTTGTCGCCGCTAATTATTCGCAATAAAAACGTTTTCAAATTTTTTTTTATAGTTTTTCATTATTTCTCCTCTAAAACATTAATGTTTGTATGTACTTCAATACATTCTTTTAATTTAATGTTAAATTTATTGATTTTTCAAATTCCCATAAATTGCGTTTAAATGTTGCTATTAGCATTGATTGACTTGTTATTTGATTTGATGAAGGTCGTAAACGCTGGATCGCTAGAGATGACACTGACCGTACACATGATTATTTCATTAGCTGTTTTTCTCTTTTTTTTTGAAATGTAAGCTTTAAATTCACAAAGGAAAATTCAACAGACACTCTTCTGGACGTCATCCGCAATTATTTAGTGACCCACTCTAGCAAACTTTCGCGACACACATCACTTGCATTTTATAAATATTTACACAATTACTTTCTATGCATGAATAGCTTTTTTAATAGAAATTCTCATACGCGCATACTTAACAAAAAGTAGCTGAAACTAAAATAACAAAGCGCGCATATTTTATAGCTGTTTACGAATTTTTAATAATTTCTTTTTAGGCGTTGACTTTTTTGGTATTTTCTTTACAAATATTTTACATTACTTATGTATATATTTATAGACACACAAGTATATATGTGTGCATACTTATTCACCTGCGTAGATTATCTGTATTTTGAAGGTGAAAGCGTAAGCTTTTTGTTTA